TGTTTGATTTGGGAAGGTACAACCTCTGCCTCTATCCCTCAACATATGGGTGACCTATTTGCTTGTAAAAATATAAAGCCTTATCATTAATTAATAAAAAAAGGGGGATATGTAGGGAGCCGTTCCTGCATTCTCCATTACAATGATGGTGCCTGCAGGCACAAAATGTAAATTATTTCGCAGGCGCTGGGTAATTTCCATTCCTTTGATCTCTGCCTATCCCGTGGCTCATTTGGCCTGAGGAGCTAAAGCCATTCATAGGGTAACACATCCCAGGCGGGCTGCCAGCCTTTATTAAGGAACGGGATTCTTGGGCCGGGGTCTCCGCTCTGGTAAGCTTATGCTCTCCCACTCTCAAGATGCATTAAAGCTTTCCTGCAGAAGGATCCGAGTGTCCTGCGTGTTTCTTGCCGGCGAGAACATAGCGCGCGGGACAGTCTATCATCTGTATTTCTGATCAGGACACTCCTCAACTCAAGTGTCTCTCTCCCCCATTCCCCTTCCACACCATCTCCATTTATCCAAGACCTACCCCCCTCCCTGTAAGAGACCCTCCCTCAGGACTGGATGCTGAAATCACGCTCCATAGCATTGTGAGAGCAACAGAACACCTATGCAGCTGCCCCGCTCCTTTTCTAAGCAGTACTCAACATTCTTGGTAGGAGGAACTGCTAGTCACCCACATGAGAGCCAAGGGACAACAGCTCCCTCACCCAGCACAGCCACTCATCAAGCAGATACACATCTATCCGGGGACTTTGAATTCCAGGATATGGCCAGATCTAGGGCGGCCCAGCACTTCCTGATGCCAGCTTGTCTTCTGTTCTTGCTTCCTGACCCTCACTCCTGGTCTGTTGACCTAGGATAGTCTTTCAAAATATTTTTGGCTAAGACACCCCAAGCCAGTGCACACCAAGTCCCTGAGAGCCACAAAGCTGCGGTGTCTGTTCCTGAGCTCAAAGGACCCAAGTGTACATGTCTCCATGCATGTTTATCTCAAGGCCCCATCTATACAGAAAACACCGACGACCAGGAACCATGCATCCCCTTCTTCCATCACCAGCACCAATCACAAAAGCTTCCAAATACTGAACTCACAGCTAATGTCAGCAATGTGAGTGTCAGCACACACACTGAACAAAAAGTTCAATATGAATCCCAAGGGCAAACCCAAACAGAAGCTCTCTGGCTAATCTGCAGATACAGAGGTGAGGCAGCACCCCCCATCTACACCCCTGCTCAGTACTTACTGAGCTTCACAACTGATATGCCGTGGCCATAGAGGTTAAGTAGAAACCCAGTGCATGGGCTCTATCCAAAAATCTTTCTAAGGAAGATCTTGTCAATAACAGAACTAGCTGCAAGAGAAACAATTCAGATAAAAAGAACTACAAAAGAGAAAACGTTATGTAGGGGAGACTCAGGCTGAAGCCATTTTGCAAAATCCAACCTACCTGTTGTAAAGGCTTTTATTCCAGGCTGTCCTTCTGTGTCATCTGCTGCTCGAGGATAAACTTTGGCTGTGTAGTTAGTACCAGGCTTTAGCCCAGTGAGCAAGACCTGTGTGAGGGAGGGACTCTGGACACAGGCTAGGACTACAGAGCAGAGGAAATTCCTGTGTACTTGGGATAGGTTGGCCACTGGGCTTCTCTCGATGTCATTGGTATCTGTTTCAAACACAGAAAGCAAAAGACATTAACAAGAGAATACAACCCCCACCTTTCATCACCCCATCCCATAAGATGACACATCCAACAGGGCCCACAGTTGGCACTCCATAAATATCTGTTCTCTGCCTCCTCCTGAGAAAGATCCAGTTCCCTGAAAAGAACTAGATATTTCACTTTGTACTATTACTCCAGAAACACCACAGATATCGTGTGGTTTTCTTTGAACTCTCATGTGCTGAACCATTCTCCTTTCTTTAGGAGCTTATATTCTACCATCCCCACAGACCACTCCATAACTCCACCTTTGCTAACAAGTCCACTCAGGAGTGTTTTCCCAGGACTACACCCAGGAGAGTGGCAGGAACATCAGGGAATGAAATAGGAATAGCTCATAGGCATTTCTCCTTGAAGCATACGGAAGGGCCTCCCTACGGAGCAACCAGACATACAGAACAAAGCAGGAGGGGGAGATGAGAGCGGCCCATCTTCTGAAGGCCTGACTACCTATCATGGGCCATAAATTATCTTTCATTCTGAGCACTTAACATCTGGCTTCTGATTCTAATTTGTATCTCTGTTTCCTTGGTGTAAAATGGGGATGAAATTTCTGTCCCTCTTCATTTCAGTTACCAGAGGAATCCACTAAAAAAAAAAAAAATGCTACAAAGTCTACAAATGACTCCTCCAAACAAAGTACAGAGACATCTCCTGCTCTTCTCCATGGAGATGACTGGTTCGACCATCCTTGGGTTAACACTTGTCATCTGTTCCCTTGAAGAAAAAGTGAAAAGGCCTATCTACTTTCCTGAAGTCCAAAATCCAAACATTTCTAGCCCTACCACCATGCAGAGCCCCATGTTCACTTGTACAACACAAGCCCTCTTCCTTCTTCATAAATCTTTGAGATCAGACTACACTGTGGCAGGAAAGCCCTCCAGCAATTGTAAAAACCCTACATAAATCCATGAACAGTATGTTTTAAAACCAAACAATGATAAGATCAGAACCTGATGCACAATTTTGTAACTCCCCTTCTGCACCCAACAAGTTGCAGATATTGCAGGACCCCGGCTTCAGGCCGGAAATATTGAAGGCCGAATGCGGAGTTATCTGTTTGCTGTTTCCGAAGCATTCAAGAAGCATCCGGTAGGAGGCGGTACCATTTGCATCGCTCCAGTTGAGAGCAGCCTGTGTCACACCCTTGGAAGCAACTTGGAGATCAGACACAGGCCAAGGTTCTGTTTCAAAAACACACAGTGGAGATTAGTGAGAGAGGCATCTGCAGTCATCTCTCCTTACATCACTGCCACTTCAAAGTGACCCACTAAAAATATTTCATTCGTATCAGAGTCTAAACATCTCCATGACATCACAGGGGCAAGGAACAAACACTATCAAAAGAAAGGAGAAGGAATAAACCTTAAAACCAAAACTTCTTATGTTCTATGTTACTGTTCAAGATTAACCCCAATAGGAATTTTAAATTCTTAAAATATACTTCCACACAGTGACATTTAACTGTTTTTAATTCTAGACACTGAAAATAAAGCATAAAAAATTAACTATTTCTAAATCTAGAGGTCTCAGTTCCAAATGATCCAAGCAATATCATTTTACAGTGCCCAGATGTTCTAACCCAGGAGACATCCTCGAACTCCAATGCCAAGGAGTGCAATTTTCTAAAAGACTCGCCAGGCCTTTCCATCACATTATGGAAACATAAATTAAACCATTTCAGTTTAAGGGACATGCACTCTCTTCAATTTTTGCAACTTTTTTATTAATTGATTAGTTGGTTTCATTGTGTAGCCTAAGTTGGGCTCAAACTTGCAACCATCTTCCCACCACTACCTATGGGCACTAGAACTAAAAGCATGTGCACCACACCCAGCTTTGCTCCCTTCGTTTGTGATACAAGAACAGGGAGACCAGAAGGGGCAGGATGACTCACTCAAGAACATAGACTGCTGGTGTGTTTGGTAAGGAGACTAGAATGCAGATAAGCACATAAAGGCAAAAACAGTGATTTGCAGAAAAAAACCCTGCCTGAGGTCTGAAGGAGGACTGATTGCATAGATACTGGCCCAAATGATTCTCCTGCTCTCACATGAGGTGACTTCTCACATCAGGTATCTCAGATGCACAGCTTTCTAAATGAGGTCACTTTGAGTTGCTTGGTTTTGTAGTTAAGTGGAGATTACATGTAGTTAAGTGGAGGCCTCCATGCCCATCCAGCATGTACTATGTGGGTGCTGAGGATCCAAACTCTGGTTCTCCCATTTGCACAGCAAGCACTTTGCATACTGAAACATCTCTCCAGCCCCAGTGAGTGTGAGGGAGAGTGTGTGTGAGAGAGAGTATGATGTGTGTGTGTGAGAGAGAGAGGGGGGAAGAGAGAGAGAGAGAATATGGTGTGAGAGAAAGAGGGGGGAAATGGGGGGTATGCAGTGTGTGTGAGAGAGAGTATGGTATGTATGCGTGTGTGTAAGAGAGAGAGACAGAGAGAGAGAGACAGAGAGAGAGACAGAGAGAGAGAGAGGGAGAGAGAGGGAGAGAGAGAGAGGGAGAGAGAGAATATGGTGTGAGAGAAAGAGGGGGAAATGGGGGGTATGCAGTGTGTGTGAGAGAGAGTATGGTGTGTATATGTGTGTGAGAGAGAGAGGGAAGAGAGAGAGAGAGAATATGGTGTGAGAGAAAGAGGGGGGAAATGGGGGGTATGCAGTGTGTGTGAGAGAGAGTATGGTGTGTATATGTGTGTGAGAGAGAGAGGGGAGAGAGAGAGAGATAATAGGGTGTGAGAGAAAGAGGGGGGAAATGGGGGGTATGCAGTGTGTGTATGCAGTGTGTGTGTATGCAGTGGGTATGCAGAGAGTATGGTGTGTGTGTGTGTGTGTGTGTGTGTGAGAGAGAGAGAGAGAGAGAGAGAGAGAGAGAGAGAGAGAGAGAGAGAATGGTGTGTGTGAGAGACAGAGAGAGAGTACGGTGTGTGAGAGAGAGAGAGGGAGGGAGAGAGAGAGAAGGAGAGAGGGAGAGAGGGAGAGAGGGAGAGGGACAGAGAGTTTTATTGGTGCTGAGAGTTGAACTAGGGTCTCACACATACTAGGCAATCATGATATCACTGAGCTATATCCCCTGCTCTCTGTCTTTATTATTAAAAATTTTAACACCAATAAACTAGACAATTTAATGGATCTTGGTGGCCATATGGATAACATGGTACTCTAGCAGCTAGAATCAGGCATTCTAATTCAATTGCTTAATATCCGGTACTAAGGGCTCTTAGAAGAAACAACTTCTCCACATCACAGTTTTCACCCTCTGCCTTAGACTTTATGATGACAAAATAATGTTTTTCATATACAGTGCCTGATATGACCTCATCCATACAGCCCTGTCCTGTGGACTCCAACATGAGTAAGGACACTCTCCTCACCTCCCCATGTTACTGCTACTATAGCCACCAGCCCTGTTTACTTTGTCCCTTACTTGTTGTGACATTTTTGTCCGTGGAGTTTCCCGAGGTCTCATTGGCTATCATCGGAGTGATGGAGAATGTATAGGAAGTAGCTGCACTTAAGCCTCTGATGGTGTATGATGTTTGGTTTTTAGCAGTGGTAAACGTCATATTCTTTTCCATCTTAGTCTCTATTCTGTAAGTGTACTCTGAAGGAGTTGAAACATGCTTCCATGTTAATGTCACGTTGGTTGGGCTGGAAACAGCTTCAATGTCAAACCCAGGGCTTGGTGCTATTTAAATATAGAACAGAGAGATGTTAATTACATATGATAAATGTAAGAATAAAGCCCACCTTGTATGTCTACTTTTCAAAACTCAATTTTATTTCTCTTCATTTGCCTCTTTGACTTTCCTACAATACACACTCATGCACGTGTGTGTTCTTAAAACTGACAGCGAAACAAATAGAAATTGGCCATGCTGTGAGTTTAACATAGAGTGAAATTCCGACATAAGCTGATACAAAGAGATCTAAGATACAAAATGAGTCTCGGAAAACCGCCTATGAAAATCTAGTCTACCAACTGGCTGAAGAACTTGGAGTGAGCCCCTTAAAACTACTCCATGTTAACTCTTCTATACCACACCAACTCTGAAGGGTTATTATTAAGCCATTATGACAAAATAGACAAGACATTAAGACTTCAATCCTACTTGCCCCTGGTCATAGAATTTTATTTCAAGTCATCTCGACTATCAGACTATCAGTTTCATCCTTGGTACAATGCCAGGTATGCAAGATCCCAAACCGATGCAAGCCACAGGATTATTCACAGTGACACTACCAAGTGCATGTACCCAAGTGTTCACCCCAAGTTCAACACAGAGGAGTAATGCCCGGGAACAGCAAAACAGAAGGTAAGCCCTTCATCCTAAGGTGCTGGGTAGACCTAGGGGTAACATCTTCTCAGAATGAACGGGATGGTATGCCTCACCTGGTTCAGGACGGGTGCAAATTTTTCCAGTTTACAGAAGGGGCAGAAGAGAAACAAAGAGAAATGAAACACTCTACAAAGTTCACAGATCACTGGGTGCTGCCATTTACAATCAATGATAACGATGATGAGAACACAGTAGCAACAGCTACAGCAGAGGAGGAAGCAAAGGAGGAAGCAAAGGTGGGTAGTTAGCAATGTCCCAGACGTGCTACCAGGTGCAGAATGTGCACCTTCCACTCACTCATCTCCCCTGCAGCAGGACAGCTATGGCACCATTTTCAATAGCAAAAAGATATGCTAAGAACTGAATTTTCTTCATTCATACAGGGAATCTGAGTGGCATGGGGAAATAGATTCCCACATTTCAAAGGTCATGGGGAAGAAAAGCACATTGTTTTTTTTTTTTCAAATTTTGCTAAATGTTTCCATTCTATTTATTGAAATAATACTGTGGATTTTGTCCATTTTATTAATCCTGCATATCATATATACTGTTTGCATATGCTGAACCATCCTTAAATCCCTGGGATGAAACTCACTTGATCACCATGAACAGTCTTCAATGTGCTGCTGAGTTGGGTTTCTGGTCAAAGTCATTTCATTTATTAGTATAAACCTCCCTCTTAAGGACAGCCTTTTGCCATATCCTGTATGGTTTGAAATATGGTCTTCCCATTTTTTTCTCAAATGTTTAATTCTTTTTTTTTCTTGCATTGTTGGTTATCTGAGAGCATGTTGCTAGTTTCCAAATATCTGTGAAGTTTCCAGAGTTCTTATTAACTGATTTCTAGTTTTCTTTGACTGTGAGAGATACTTGCAGTGCTCTCAGAATTCTTAAACTTGTAAGATATATTTTGTAGCCTAGCAGAGGTCTATCCCAGACAGTGCTCAGTCTCCAGTGGAGAAAAATGTATATTTGCAGCTACTGGAGAAAATCCCCAGATGTGTCTTTTAGGTCTCTTTGGTACACACATAATTGGAACTCAGTCCTTCATTCTTACTTCAGCAATGTGGATAGTCCAACTGGAGTTAACAAAAGTCTCACAGCTTTCTGTGGTGATTTGAAAGAAAATGAACCCCAAAGGAAAGAGCACTATTAGGAGGTGCAGCCTTGTTGGAGGAAGTGTCACTGTGGGAGCAGACTTTGAGGTCTTTTTCTCAAGCTTCACTCAGTGTGACAGTCAACTTCCCTCTGCCTTCTCGCCACCATGGAGACAGCACCATGTCTTCCTGCAGGCTGCCATGCTCCCCATCGTGATGAAAATGGACTGAACTTCTGAAACTGTAAGGGAGCCACCACCTCAATTAAATGTTTTCTTTGTGAGAGTCGCCGTGGCCATGGTGTCTTTTAACAGCAATAGAAACCCTAAGACACCTTCTTAATGTGGTAAAAACACCTCAATTACTCACCCTGCTGCTGCCTGTCACAGAGGGTAACTCTACAGATGGGTCAGGTTTACAGCCTTAATCCAGAAATCAGTTCTGGAGGCTGAGCCTAAATCCTACTTCCTGAGTATTGTGGGCTAAATTGTATCATCACCAAAATCCACACATTCAAGTAGTAAGCACCAGTACCTCCAAGTGTGTGTGTGCTTGCAAGACAGTGTGTGTCAAGGCGTTAAGTTCAAATGAGGTCATGAGGGTGGAGCCTCTCACAATAAAACAGGTGTCCTTGTATGTTGCAAAATATTTGTGTACACTGTAACGATGTGTCTCTGCCTAAGGTGCCTTCTGATTGGTTTAATAAAGAGCTGAATGGACAATAGCCAGGCAGGGGAAAATAGGAAGAATTTCCAGGCAGAGAGAGAGAAACTGGAAGGGGGAATCTAGGCAGATTTTACCAGCAGACTTGGATCAAGTCAGATGTGCAGCACTAAGAGGTAACTGAGCCACATGGCAGTATGTTAAAAAAAAATGGTTTCATAAAGTTATAAGCACTAGTTGGAGAAAAAAGCTAAGGCCAAGATTTCATAATTAATAACAAGTCCCCAGGTCATTATTTGTGGACTGGCTACTCAAAGATAGTCCAACAAGAAAGCTTGCTGCAATTGGTGTCCAATGCATGCAGCATGTAAATCCACACAGGGCTGGGAAGAAAAAAAAAAAAAAAAGGTCCCAGTAGGCTCAACGCTTGCCACACACAGAGGCTTTTAAGAGACCCTGCTATTGAGCACTTGAATGGGGTTTATGAGCAAAGGTGGAGGGCCTAGCCACTGCTTAACAGTTTAAGGTTTGGCTCACACAGTCAGAGAACAAAGGCTGCAGACTCATAAAGTCAGGTCCAGACCAAGAAAACCTCCAAACAGATACAGTATGCTTAAAATGTGCTTAGAAGCTGAAGAAACAAAAGAAAATGGATATAGGCAGTCATATAAAAAATAAATAGTTTAAAAATAATAGTCCTTGCCGGACACTGGTGGCACACGCCTTTAACCCAGCACTAGGGAGGCAGAGGCAGGTGGATCTCTGTGAGTTCGAGGCCAGCATAGTATACAGAGCAAGTTCCAGGATAGTCTCCAAAGCCACAAAGAAATCCTGTCTTGAAAACCAAATAATAATCATAATCATAATCATAATAGTCCTTAAAGAGAGGGTAAAGTAATATAAAAAGGAAAAGTTACATAAAGATGGGAAATACACAGGGTGTCTGGATCCTGTACAGTGCTTTGTTGACTGTAAACTTTTTTAAATGCTAATGAACAAAAAACAATAGCTTCTAAGAGACATTGGGTTATGGAAACTGCTAAACTAAACCAACTTATATATTTTAAGAATGTTTTAACTTCAGAATGGAAGTCAGAAAATATGTTGCATTGGGGAAGAGGTTTTGCTTTTGTTTCCACTATAAACAAAAAGCTATGGATTTCTTCAAAATTAAAAAAGGCCAGATTTGATTGGGGAAGACCTGCTAAGGATCTTGGCTATTAACACAAAGAAGAAAGAAAAACTACAAGACAGGTGATGTATAAGCAGATCCTTCTGCATGGGAAAAGCTCTGAGATAGATGAGACATGATAAATCTTGTTAGCCACAGAGTCCTCATGTCTTATTATATGCTACCCTTTCATATGGCATAGATGGAGATTTATGTTATAGTTTGGTTATACAATCCAAACGGACTTATAAAGCTGACAGATGCCTTTTACCTGCTCAAACATAGAACAAAAAAATAACCTTTAAATGGCTTGTGCACACCATATATTCCATAGCTGTGTTTATGAAGATATATGTGTTACCTTTGAAAGTTTAGGTGTTTTCAAAAAAAAAAAAAAAAAAGACCATACACCAATGAAAATAAGTAGCCCAGGTGATTCAGCCTCCCAGAGTACCTGCTACAGTTTCCTCAAAATTCTGCATCCAGAACAACTTCAAAGCTGCTAGCTAAGATGGTCCAGCCCCACAGACTACTCCAGCCAAGACTTCAGATAAGCTCTACACTCTCACACAGAGACTAAACAAAAAATAATACACTAACTCTCCCAGGACTTGATTATTATCCCAATTTTCTCAGGAATGTCGTCACCCATAGACAACAGGAAGCAGCCTAGAGAACATGGCACCCACATTCACAAGAGATAGGTTGTTTCTGATCCTTCGATGGATGTTTGCCATTGTTGGGGGGGGGGGGAATAGTCGCAAGTTTTTACTGGTCAGGGTCAGAAAAAAAGGAAACCAAACAAAGGAGATTAGATTCAATAATCTCTTTCTGAAAAGCAAAGAAGGGATATAAAAATAATAGGATAAAAGAGTAGATTATTGAATTTAAACAACTATTAATCTCAAATATTTTACAATGGTATGAATTTTTGTATATCGATACAAATTTAAGGTTATTTTTGTTATACTGTATATATGTTTCTATTCTTGTTTAAGGTACTTTGTATATTGATATGAATTTGTATCAATATACTATGTATGTGTACATATATGTTCTTATTTAAGGTATTGTACCTATGTAGCTTGCTTAAGAAGGTAATGCAAATTTCTAGTCCTTAATAGTTATTATTATGAAATATTAAGATAATTAAAAATGCAGGCTAGTAGTCATCTATATCAATCAAACTTATAGTCATGTTAGATGTGTTTTTAAGGTCAAACGAGAGATATATTTGATAGACAGATGATCTTCAAACACTTAAAGAGATCTACAGAATATGGCATTTAAGATTTTTTAATAACCTAAGGTTTTTCATGATAGTGACACACATCTGCTCCTGGCAGCACCAATTTACTTCAATAAAAGATGATGGCTGTCCAGCTAACAATCTAAGCAACAGAGGAGAGGCTAACTTAAATGCCCTCCCCTGATAATGAGATTGATGACTGACTTATATGCCATCCTATAGCCTTCATCCAGCAGCTGGTGTAAGTAGAAGCAGACTTAAACTGAACTGAACTGGAATCCAGTTGCAGAGAAGGAGGAGTAAAGAGCAAAGGGGTCCAGACCAGGCTGGTGAAACCACAGAAACAGCTGACCTGAACAACAGGAAGCTCTTGGTCCCCAGACTGATACCTGGGATACCAGCATGGGACTGATCCAGACCCCAGGAATGTGGGTTTCATTGAGGAAACCTCGGAAATCTACCGTATCTCCTGTAGTAGTTCAGTACTTATCCCTAGCACAGGTGTGGACTTTGGGAGCCCATGCCACATAGAGGGATACTCCCTGAGCCAAGACACTCCCTGAGTCTAGGCCCTATCCCAATTGATAAAATAGACTCTGATAACCCTTATGGAAGGCCTTACCCTCCCTGGGGAGCAGAAAGGATATGTGATAGGTAGGGTTTTAGTTGGGGGGGGGAGTGGTAAAGGAGGGGGGAGGGAGAGGCAACTGGGGTTGACATGTAAAACAATCTTGTTTCTAATTCAAATTTTAAAAATCTGCAAAACAAAAAAAGATAATGGTTGTCAAAGACTTTCCATATGGAGTCTGCTTTTATTTGTGGCAAAGTTAGCCACTGGGCAAGAAACTGCCCTTGCCTCAACTGCTGACAGTATGCTGCCCAAACTCAAAGTGGCTGCCAATCTTTGCCAAGACAAGGTAGGACAGTCCTTCAAAATTCCTGCTTCACAGAAAAGTCTGTCAGATATTCTAGGCCTGTAGGCCAAAGATGAATGCCCCAATGTTGCAGAAGAACCTTGAGTTACTGTCTAAACAGGCAGCTATTTCCATCACTTCTATAGTTTTAGAAGTAGCTTGCTCTACACTTCCTGTTTACGTGGGTAATATTTTCCCTTCTTGGGTCTCTGATGAAGGCTCAAGACTAGATAGTTATAAAATTTTCTTTGTTACCAAATTCAAAAAGAAACTTACAAAAGAGGTGTAAAGTTTATAAAGGTCAAGAGACATAAAAGCTTAAGTTGTCTATCTGACAAAATGTTTTGAGTTTTAAAAAGATAGTTTCGGGTTGGTAATACAAGTTAGGATAGAAAATTGTTTAGGTTTAAAACTTTGGACTCGCCGGGCATTGGTGGTGCACTCCTTTAATCCCAGGACTCTCGAGGAAAAGTCAGGCAGATCTCTGTGAGTTTGAGGCCAGCCTGGTCTACAGAGCGAGTTCCAGGACAGGCTCCAAAGCAATACAGAGAAACCCTGTCTCAAAAAACAAAGGAAGAAGAAAAAAAAAAAAAACCTTTGGACTCATCAAGATAGGATAGATAATAGACTAGACATTATAAATGTAATTCTTACCTGATAATTGTTCTTAGTATGCATAGTTTTACTATGTTAAACCCTTTCCTTTTTATTTAGAAAAAAAGGGGGGGAACATTGTGGAATATTTGTGTACACTGTAAATATGGGTCTCTGCCTAATGTGCTTTCTGATTGGTTTACTGAAAAGCTGAATGGCCCAGAGCTAGACAGGAGAGAATAGGTGGGACTTCTGGGCAGAAAGAGAAATTGGGAGGAGGAATCTTGGTCTCCAATTTCACCAGCACACTCAGTACAAAGTCAGATATTCAGTACTGAGAGGTAACTGAGCCATGTGGGAGAATGTAGATTTAAAAGAAAAACAAATGGGTTGTTTAAGTTATAAGAGCTAGTTGGGGGAAATCCTACACTAAGGCCAAGCTTTCATAATGAATAATAATTCTCCAGGTCATTATTTGTGGGCTGGTGATCCAAAGATAGTCCGACAAGAAAGCTTGCTACACTTTGAAGGAGAGAATGTTAGTACATAGGCACAGGAGCTTGGGGGTAGGGGAGGGCATGATGACACAGGGAGAATAGAAACAGCCACCTGTATGCAGAGGGAAGCTCCTGAACTGTAAGAAAATAAAATACATACAGGGATGCTGATGGCAGCCCCTGCAGATTAAGACAGTGCCCTTCCAGCAGCCCCAGGAGTCCTCAGTTCCCAAGGAAAGCCTTCTGGCTTGAAATAGCTTTGGGGCTTGCTCCCTGCCACTGAGTATTGGATAACACTCCACCCTCTGAGCTGGACTGCACTAGAGAGGTCAGATTCTGGCAGGCCAGTGGCTCCAGCTTCCTACCAGCTTATCTACCAGACTGATTCACAGGAAAGACACCACCTGTGTGGGTTCCCCATTGTTTGCAAAAGCTTTACATAATTTGTGTTGTTAACAAAGATTTGCCTTATTAGAAGGGTTCAGTGAGATTTGCCCCCTTTGTACAGTGCTTCTGAAACCATCTAATTGTTTTATCTCAATGTTTTTTTTTTTCCAGTAAGGATGAAAAATGTCCCTGAATTTTAAGGACAAATAAAAACTACCAATTTTTCCAAAAGAATATGCATTTTTAAAGTACTAACTACCTGCTGGGCATTGGTGGCGCACACCTTTAATCCCAGTACTTGGGAGGCAGAGGCAGGCGGATCTCTGTGAGTTGGAGGCCAGCCTGGTCTCCAGAGCGAGTGCCAGGATAGGCTCCAAAGATACACAGAGAAACCCTGTCTTGAAAAACTAAAATAAATAAATAAATAAATAAATAAATAAATAAATGTATGTACTAACTACTATTATCCTTCTACAGAAACAATACGGTTTTTTTAATGATTTATTTAATTTCATGTGCATTCCTGTTTTGCCTACATATGTGTATATGTGAAGGTGACAGATCCCCTGAAACTGGAGTTACAGGCAGCTATGGACTGTCATGTGTGTGCTGTGAAGTGAACCCAGGTCCTCTGGAAGAGCAGCCAGTGCTCTTAACCGCTAAGCCATCTCTCCAGCCCCAACTGTAATGTCTTGATCCCAGAACAGATGGTACTTTCAGCTGGATGCATTTAGCTACATAAACCATCATTACTAGATCATCAGAATAGCATCATAGTTATCCTGTCTTCCTACAGACCAGGGGAAGAAAAGCACCTCGCCATGGCTGAGACTCAGTCCCCCATACCACACTGGGGCCGAGGGCAAAGGGATTCTGTTTGACTTTCCTGTTCTAAGGGTGGAGCCCAGAGCTTCATACGTGCTGGGCAAGCACCCAAGAATCTAATGATAGAGGAGGCTCTCCCTTCTTCTGAAGAAATTCTGTAATTCCTCAACACTGTATTTTAAAGGTAGTAAAACAGCAACACAAGAAAGTGCTTGCATGAAATAGGAAAATAAAGTATTACAGTTTCAATTCATCTATCTTTTCCATGATTACAGGCTGGCAAATGAAAATCACAGAAAACCCAATGCTTTTATTAATTGGTGGTTTCACTATGTCCTCAAGGATGCTCTCAAACTCTCTAGCTCTCTAGCTTCCCGAGAAAGCCTCCCAAGGAACTGGGAGTACAGGACTACACCCCTGCCATTCAGCTTAGAAACCAGAATTTTTATAGCTGTGGTTACACAGCTAACTGACCTTCACTTGCTGTTTCTACCTTCACTTGATTTCTAAGGAAAAATGGAAATAAATGCGCTTTAACACATTTTTTCTGTGATTTTTTTTCCCCACATTTGCCGTTAATGTAGCATTTTGACCACTAGGGGACAGTAGCAAACAACACAAGAATGGAAAGGAGCAAGGTACTCACCCGCACCTGCGCACAAGACCTGTAACGGAAAAGAAAAGGGAAGTCAGCAGATTCATTCAGCTGTGGAAATGCAAATCAGATACTGAGCAGCTGGGGATTTGATATTGGGGGTGGGTGCTGAGTGCAGGGAAGGCTGATGGCCATGGTCAGGGTGTCCTGGGGCTTTAAATACAAAGAAAACTCAAGTCAATTGCACAGGATTAAACCAGGTTTTATGGAGGCCATGGGGCTGTTGACTACATAAACCCAAGGTTCCTCACGGCTTCATAAGCCAGTGCTCCCTCTTGGCCCTGTGAGATGAACCGGAGCAGAAGGACACAAAAGCAAAGTCAAGATTGTCTAGTCCAGAACAAATGAAAATGGGGACCAAAGACTCTTCCCCACAGTCAAGTCCAGGCCCAGTGTATTGGCAAAGCCATGCCTGAAGTTGAAAGTCAATAGGTTTGGGATCTTTCACTATATAAAAATTCACCTTCTTCAGTCTATTGGTTGAGGGCAGTCATTTTTTTAATCATCTGGTATGCTGCTTTGGGAAGGAGTGAAATATGATTTAGTTGATAATGTCAATCTTCCAATGGGGGGGGGGGGAGAAAATCCCTTTAGTGGTATTTATTACCATCTATACCATAAATTATTTCCCCAAAGCATAACGTAATTCCAGGTTGTATGTTTCCCTGCCTCTTAAATACATGCTTTTGGAAATTGGAATTTCCAAAGTATGGTGATTGTGAAAAAGAAAATAATAAAAAAAAAGGAAAAAAATGTTCTGCAACTTCCCACCATACTTAGAATTAAAATCCACCCTTAACTACCCAGCAGGCTCCTCTAGTCTTGGTGACATTCACATTCTTGAAGCTAATTTCCCCTTAGAACCATTGCATATTTATTCCCCCTTGCAAAACACTGACCCAAAACCTCCTTTCTTGGGGTATGCCCAAGATGTCACCCCCTTCAGAAGTCTCTTCACTAACCACCCAGGAAAATTCACCACCCTCACTCTCCAAGACAAGTCTCCTCCATATGGACAGAAACACAGTTCATATCATAGGTGCTCAATAAATGCCACAGAAAAGAACAAATCAGCTGATGAGAAAGAAAGGATTTCTTAAGCCCCCACCCCCAAAAATGTCCACTACCTTGTCTCTCAAGCTTAAACTTTCTCGGTTCATTTCAAACAGTAACTAAAGGTCACTTCTAAGGCCTCCCCCAGCCCCTACTCCTCAAGTCAGGCAATGTGTCAATCAACATATCTATGATGGATCCTGGGAGAGGGAGGAAAATAGAGGAACTCATGGCTAGCACAAGGAAGCAAGCATAGCTTGCCCAGTACTTGAAAACAATGTTCAACTACAAAATCTCCGTGCTTTAGGATGGTAGAGTCTTGGCATCTGCCCAAGGCATATCTCGCCTTGGTATCCACATGCTGTGGATCCTCTTGGAATTCATTCATCTTAGGACCACCTGAAACCACCAAAGGCCTGCATCCTACCCTCCAACTATTTGCCGGAAAGCAGGGGAAATGAGATGAGTCTAAAAGCAACTCCAGACAGAGAGCACGATCACAAACATGCCCGTATGAAGCACCTACAAGAGCCAAGCACTCCTCTAAAGTGCCTGCAGTCAACAGCCTTGTTGTCCCAGGAAAGAGGACAGGGCATCCAGGCCTTAGGGAGACAGTAGGGTAAACAGTACCCCTGGCCTGGGTGCAATGTGGCAGGGGAAGTCAAACAAGGATGTATGCAAAAGCAGGGTGCGGTGCTTCTAAACCTGTGTCTTGTGTCCCTTACGTTCCTGGCACGGGTAAAAAGCAAGGATTGCATGTTGAAGAAAAAGGAATCACAGCTGAGTCCCTGCATCCAATGTGTTTAAGTCAATTCACTCAGAGCACTGACTACCAGCTCTGTTCTAAATGGCTCTCAAATGGAAACTCAATCCTCCAAACAACTCATTAGTAAGAGGTGAGTGGCAGGGCCTGATCTTCAGATCTTCAAACTACAGAGGCCCTGTGCATAACCACCAGCTCTGCCACATCCTAAGTGGAGAGCAATACACTAAGGATTAGTGAAGGTTTAAAAATTAATTAGAGGTCGGGCGGTGGTGGTGCACACCTTCAGTCCCAGTACTCGGGAGGCAGAGACAAGTAGCTCTCTGTGTGTTCAAGACCATCCTGGACTACTGAGTGAGTTCCAAGATAGCCTCCAAAGCTACAGAGAAACCCTGTCTCAAAAAAAAAAAAAAAAGAAAAGAATTAAAATCAATTAGAAATGAGATATTTTATCAGCATCCAATCTAAATAAATAAATACACTAAGCAGAGTGAGCGTACTCTGTACTCTGTACTCTGTGCTCTGTGCTGAAGCAGGCTGGGCCAGGCTTCTCCTCTTAACTCCCCCAGTGGTCCCTGTGCCACAAACAAAACAGCCTGGGTCTCTGTGGGGCTCGTGGAGGGGCACCACCACTCACCACTCCACTACCTGCTTTTGCACTGCCTGCTGTAACAAAGTCACACTGGTTCACACAACAGAGTGAGGTAAACTGACTTGTGCCTTTACCTTCAACTGCACAGTAAAAACCCTGAAAGGCCCATTACTGCTCTTGGGGATCAGCTCAGGTCAATGAAGAGCTTTTAAAAATACCATCAACAGAAAGGTCATGCTTCCAAAAGGAAGTAAAAGCCTAGTTATGCCTGATGGTGAGATAATAAAAGACTGACATTTCCAGGCTCAAAAACAGCATACCAAAGTTACCTACAGAAAGGTGTCTGGGGACAACTTCCCAGCGATTGACAGCCAGACATGGCAAGAACCACAGCCCTGCTGTTCCTAGTGGAGGAGCTAAGACTCTCTGGACTCCAGTAATCCCACATGGGTCTCCACCCACACAGGGAAAGCAGTAAGCATTCCTCAGGCTCCTTCAGAGAGTCCTCAGCTAGTCCAAGTGGTTGTGGTGGCAACAAAAATGAGAATGCCCATTCACCGATAAGGACTCTGTTGCTTGGGTTACACAACCCAAGATCACAGATACTAGGCTTGCCGCGGCACAGAAAGACAAAAGAAAGCCTGGGAAGAGATGCTGAGACTAGAGACAAGACCAATGCATTCCACTCCCTACTCTCTTCCAGGCAGAAATAAAAGCAGCTGATGAGGTGTGAACAAACAAACTTGAGACTGGGGGCATGTCAGGCTTCAAGGTCTGCTCCCTTCTCACTCTGAGCCCTCCTACCACCACCACCCCCCATCCCCATCCCCCTAGCCTTTCCCTTCCCAGGGAGTTGAACCTAGGACTTAGGGCTCAAGGGCCTCCAGATGTTTGCCGAAGGTGTTGCAGAAGTGCTATTGACACAGCCAAAAGGTAAAATGAACCCAATGGCTGTGGCACATCCATACAACAGAAAATCACTGGTCCAAAAAGAGGGTTGGGATACTGACTCCTGTTACATGGCTGGATCTCAAAGACGGGCAAGGGGTCATGGGGGAACGGAAAGGGAAGGGGCCTGGCTACAAATGAGCTCAATCTGGGTGTTGCTTTTTGAGTAATTCTAAGTGTGGAGAACTGATAGAGATGACAGTTGCACAATAGGCTGAATGCACTAAATACTGCTAAAATTCACTTTCAAATGGTCCTTCTTATTATGTAAATTTATTCTTATTTTTTAAAGATAGTATGCAGCATGACTGTATAGTTTTGCTCAGCCACTGCCCACCTTGCTCAAGGGAGGAGAGAAAGGGAGCTTCCTGAAGAAAACTGAAAAGGAACAGGAGGAAGAAGAGGACTAGGAATAGAAGGAACACTGAATTCTTCCTGCTCTACCACGAGGTCACACAGACCTCACTAGGCGCATGAACTTTCAAATTCTTCCCAAATCTACCTGAAAAATCACACACCAAAATAGACCCTCTATATCCTCCTCTTCCCCTCTCTCTGGTGTGACTGCCCAGTTGCCCTGCCTCCTAGGCTATAAATTTTGGAAACCCTAAATGTTTGAAACACACGTTTGAAAGTGCACATGTGCACACACACACACACACACACCCTTCTTCCTGGACCACTGAAGGCTGTCTCCCACACCCATGGTACTAAATCTCCCTACTTCTGTGCTATGCTCTGTCCTCACAACCTGAGGTCCACAGGCATCCTAGGTCTGCAAGGCTCGTGCCATCTCAAACCTGTCTTTAAAGCTCCCAAGCCATCGCCCATATACATAAAACCAACAAGAGCCAGAACGGTGATTATCTGCTGCCACCTTCTTTCTATTCTGTAAGACGGTGGTTGTGACTCTATGCAGAACCCTCTATTTAGAACATAAAACAGAACAATGCTTGGGGGGGGGGACCTTTTGTGAACATTGAAGGCAAATAGATCCTGACCCTGTTCCCTCACTCATTTACCTGGCTGACACCTCCCTTTCTTAAGCTATGTGTCAGGGCCTTCACAGTGTGAAAATAAACAGGACAGGAGCCCAGCAGAGACAGGTAACACACTCAGCCAGAGTAAGGGGGAAGAATTTTAAAAGGCAGTGGATGAGGCTGTGAGAAAGAGACAGGAATGTGCAAAAAAAAAAAAAAAAATCCTGGAGTGCCACAAACGAAAGAGCAGACAAGCCTAGGGGGCTGCCTCTCCTATCACGGGCTAAAGGTGCCCACTGGCTACCCAAACAGGGAGATGGAGGTCAAGGGCACCCCTGGTGTAGAACACAGAGGTCAGCCTCCTGCTGGAGTACAGACAGGAGGGCAGGGGTCTGCTGGGGCACTGAGAAGGCAGCCCAGGCTCACCTTACTATACTGCAGAGCCTGTCAATCTGGTAGGTGAGAGCCAAGAGTGGTCAAGGAGTTCAGTTCAAGCAGGGGGTGGGAGGGTAGCAGTGTACACCTTTCATCACAGCACTTGGGGAGGGTGAGGCAGACGGGTATTTGTGCGTTTGAGGCCAGTCTGGTCTACATAGGGAGTTCCAGGACATAGTGAGACCCTCTCTTTAAAAAAATAAAAAATTAATTCAACTTTCCCTGCCCTTGGTGCCCTGGAGCTTGAGGGACTTACAAAGCCATTCATTTCACTAATTATAAAGTAATGGAAGGGCATCTTCAATATACATCCCGTGTCTGTGTTTTCTCAAGATTCAAGT